CAGGCCGGTAATGATGCATTGTCTATTTTGATCAGTAACTTTTTGTCATCTTTCAATTAGCATCATTATCACTTTCATAAAAATTTGGTTTTTATTAGCAAAAAACTGAATAAAGTACAATTGGACATCATAATAATCATTGAATTGTTTACCATTGAAAGAGTTTTGTAAAGATCGAAACAAAAAGTAATTAGAAGATGCAAGGTCTTATATACTATCAATAGTCAATAACTAGAATAGAATAGAATTTTTAACGAGTGGCCAAAGATATGTGATGCCAATAATGGAATAAATCACCATTTCGATTTGTCAATTTAGGCAGCTTTTCTTCGAATGCGATGTTTAATTTCGTTAGTTATTCAATGTAGACATCAGAATTGATCGTTCGGTTGGGTGAAGACAATTCCTTTGTAATCAACTTCCGATTGAAAACATTTGTCACCGTTTTCATCCGGTTTACAAAAATCACAAGAACGAAATTTGGCAAATCAATTTGACACTGCCGTTTTATCAGGACTTATAAGATTCATAAGGTCACCATAAACAGTTCATAACTTTCAATGAGCTTAAGATGCCTTTTTACCTTTGCGGAAACAAAAAAAAACAAAATATGACAACAATTTTCGATATGATTATCCATCTTTCAACATACGCCAAATGAAAACTATGTAATCGAGCATAAAAAACTCTTTTTACTGAAGGACACCAAAATTGCCTACTAATAAAAGTAATTTAACATTCGGACTACGTCAGCAAACCGAAAAATTCAATTGAAATCATTTAAGATAAATACCGCATTTACTTAGTTGCCAACCTAATATTTTCGCTATATCAAAACAGGTTAAACAGTTGCATTAACATCCGCTTTAAGACGTAAAAAAGTTATCGAGTGCTGATAAAATACCAAAATAAAGCACAATTTACCATCGTGTACAATAATGGTGGTACCATTTGATATACGATGTGCCGTTTGAGGGAACGATTCTGTCGCATAACAGAAAAATGTTTTGGCAAGGCCATGTTATGAAGATAATATTGACAAAAGCCCTGCGGTTGGTGTGCAGTCAGGCGAATTTCTCAGGCTGTCCGATAGAAAACATAACCTAGAAGCCGCAAAAATGTCAAAAAAAACGATCTAGGATAACATTGTGTTTCCGATACAGCTCCATAACATACGAGTGACGTTGCAGTTTATGTATAAAACGCCTGAATGCACAGCAAATACATGACATTTTGACAGTATTCAGTATGATTCATTAGCATAATGTATGGAAGTCGGAGCATAACATGGCCTTGCCATAACATTTTTCTGTTATGCGGCAGAATCGGTTCCTGAATTAATTTTTAAACAAGTTGTACATATTAACTTCGTCGTAATTCCAAATATCATGTTGCATTACATCGACTAATTAAGTATTTCGACTCACTTGATTATGAATTCCGGCTGTTGCGGTTGCATGCACAGGGCCATTTTATCGTAAAAGTCGATATTGCTACTGATGTGAAACTTCGGCTCGGCCGTCAAACTGAATTCACAGACGGAACGCACGAAGGAGTTATCCACGCGCAGATGGCCTAAAATCGTCGCTCCAGCACTGAAAAATAAAATAGTTTTATAATAACATTATAATGGAAACATTATAATTCAAAAATTTATTAGAATAATCCAAATTGTTTTATTGTTTTTGATTTTATAAGAGAAGATTATGAGCTAATATATGAAAAATGCGACGGTCTTAACCAAAATAGTTGGACGCTTTTTTCCGCTCGTTTCAATATACCCTTTAATAAATGTATTACACCGGGCTATTACATATTTTTTCATAATCTCATTTTTAATAGGAATCTGAACTTTCATCCTATGGGCTGTTGTGGTCGAACTTATCTTTTTCTGTCGTGTTTAGATAAAAACCCAACGGATAACGTACCTATACTTGATTATTAACTTCCCGTAGGGTAAAAGTTATTGTAATCGTCCAAAAATCGAAATTGAAAATTTTTACATTTCCTCACGTTTTGAAGGTTTCTTAAGATTTTGGCATACCTTAGAAAATATGGATGTGTGTGTATGTGTATGTATGTATGGATACGATTTTTCGACCACGTTTTCAGGCGCACGGATCATCCGATTTGAATAGTTCAAAGAACATTCGATTTCTATTGATAGAGAGATGTGCTGATTAGTTTTTGGACAAAGGCAGGTCCAGCCGTTACGGAGATACAGAGCAAAGAGTGCAGAAAATAGAAATAGAGTTTTTGAGAGAACGGCATCCGATTTAAATGATCTAAAAAAAACATTCAATTCGTAATGATGGGGAGAAGTGGTGATTAGTTTTTGGCAAAGATAGGTCCAGCCGTTTCGAAGATACGGAGCTAAATGTACAAAAAAACGGCAATTTTTGAGATAACTGAGCATCCGGTTTGAATGATTCAAAAAACTTTCTCCTTGTGTTGACGAAATAATTGCTTCAGGCGAAAGAATTTTTTTTGTTTTTTTTTTTTAATTTAAAAAAAATATTTTTGTCAATACATAAGCTCTTATATTTTACATCTAAAAATTTAATTAACATTAATGAAAGTTACAGTATTTATAATAATCTATTTGAAAACATTTAATATTCCTTGGATATTTCATTAAGGTACCAGAAGTACCAGCAATTTGCTTTAAAGCACGATACCATACACAACTAGTTTTATTATTAAACTTGATCAAACATTTGTCATATCATATTTTATTAGATGCAGCAATGCACCAGAAGGTATATTTTCACTTAAAAACATATTTTATTGCTGTATTTCCAAGTGACAAAGGAAATCGCTACTGCTCGGTATCAAGTTATGCGTCTCCGTTATCCGATATTATTCCCAATAGAACCCCATATTAGATTGATTAAATAAATTTAGATCGATTTTGAATTTTGTTAGGTTTAAATGCAAGTATGTAAAAATAAAAGTTAGTCAAATATACAAATAAAATGGTACTTCCAAAGTAGCTTCAAGAGCACCAATACATTCTTCATTACCGACTGATTATTACAATGTAGCATTAAAGTAACAAATTACTTATTTTTTCTTACTTGGTTTCAATAAGAGAATGAGCGTTTCTATTCCATAACGAAATCTGTACTTGTCCAGAAAGATCAACAGAAGTTCCTCCCACAAGAGATAGTTCAGCTATGACGCCAGTTTGTAATGGTAGAGTTTCCTGGTGGTCGTATAACAAACTGGCAGCCTAAAAATAATAACCATACAAATAATAAAAATTTGGTCATTGAAATAAATTTATGACAAATTAAGCAACTAAAACATGTGTCTAGTATCACCTGATAAGCTGGTGTCTTGTCCGAGCCAGTTCCAGACCAAACGTGCCCCATGAGTTCACCTTGTCCAGTAAAGAATACAAATGGTCTAATGGTTACGCCATGGACAGTTATTTCCATTCCAGCAGTTGCATCTTCTTGCTCTTCCTCTTTGTCTTCGCCAGACGCCGTGGTGTCCGATACGAAACTGCCCAATCCACCGGCAAACATTCCCAACTAAAAAATAATAATTTATAGATAAGTAATAGAATTGTTTCAATAGTATTAGAACTTAAGTATTAATTGATAATAAAGAAGTTTTCTATTATCAGTTTAAAAGCAGAGCATTTTGGAAATCAGGAAATTGTGTGGATATTTAGACATATTAATTTTTGCTATGAAAATGTTTAATAATCAAAATTTCAATCTTATTATTATATATAGTATTAAAAAGTTTCGAAAATTTCATACGCCCATCTAAAATCTTTTTTTTTATACTTTAGCGATATGCCCAGTAGAGTTACTAAACGTACCAGGCACAACAACATATTGCAAAACTTTCCAATCATTATCTATTCTATTTTAATTATGGCAAAACTGACCATTACATAAAATGGATGAGCATATTTCTAATTGAAATTCATGGAATAATTACTATTACTATTGAACTAAATAAGTTGTTTCAACCAATTTCTTAAAAAGTTTGTGGAAAAGTCTAAACATAGATTCCAATTATGATCTAATTAAGAACCTTTGAGCTGAATTTATTGCAACTATTAAGAATGAAACTTACACTCATAATGTTGTGTAATTTGTTGTCTTCGCCATATTGTACATTAAAATCTACAACACCACGTTTGAGCATGCCTCCATTCATTTCTTGTACAGTCGCTAACTGTGTACTTGATGTATTAGAGCTTGCATACACTCGAGAAAACGCAGTGGATAAACCTTCAACAATATAAAAAATAATGTATTATTACATGCCACAATTTTTAAATATTTTATAATATTTATTTGGATTATGAACCTTTCTGTCCAAGAACATTATAATTATTAACACGCCTAGATTGCCGCAACAATTTGTTTACCCTATTTTCAAAGATTTCGGATTTGTCTGACTCGTGTCGCAATCTCTGCAAAACGTATTGTTTGACCTGAAATAAGAAAACAAATACTAAAATATTAGTTCAGAAAAAAATATAGTAAAGCAGTAATTAATAAAATTGCAAACCTCGAAAGCTTTATCTGGACTCCTCAAATAATCTAAAACATCTTTCAGCAGCTCATCTTTAATGCCTGCATCCAACAAAATGTCCAAAGCTAACGTTCTTGCGCTTGAATCAAATTTCTTCGTAATCTGGAAAAATATTTGAATGCAAGCCTTCTGTACAGTGTCGTACTGTAAAACTCTCTGAGGAAAGTTTTTCAAAGCTTTCATAGCTGTGACAGAAACAGGTTTGCTGCCTTTTGTGGCATGTTGGAGAAGGCTTTTCACTGTCGCAGGATCTTGCAAATTTCTCATTGCTCGAATGTAAACAAGACGACATTCATCATTCTGACATGCTTTGAGATTTTGACTAATATGTGTAGATACTTGTTGCACCAACTAAAATAAACAATATGGATAATGGAGATTTTAGATGCCAACTATATTATAAAATGGTTTAGATAACGGTTTAAACTGTTTAAAGAGTAAATAGAAGTTTTTTTTCTTGATTTGATATGTTTTTCCATTGTTTTTCGTCATATAAAATACACTGAATTAGGTAATTAGTATGGTATTTATTTATGAACACAAATGTAATTTAAACCTAGTAACATCTCTTTATAGATCACTTAACTATTTCATGTTTTTATATGTAAATACCACAATTGATGTGAAATATGATGCGGCTTCTAACATTTTTCTTCATCCTTTAAATAAGATATAAATATATTTTTATACAGATTGATTTAAACTGTTCACCTTATCTTCATAGCTGCGTCCAGGTAATTTTGCTAAATTTTTGGCCATTGCTGCCATAGTTTGAAGAAGTGTATCGGTCAATTTGTGATCCCTAGTTTTGTTCGCTTTCTTCTGCACCATTCTCAATATGTCTGCTAAAACTTCAGGTGATGGATGAGCACCCATAGATAAAGCCCAAAGATAACGTTCCCAGTTGTCAAGATCATGATCATTATCTAAGTCTAAGAAACGTTTGATGGCCTCATGGGATGATGATGTTTGGGCAAATCCACAAAGATCACAAAGTTGAGTTCTATAAAATGAGAAAGAATTCAGTTATACATTTTCCTATCAATAATTAAAATTACAAATTGCTGTAAAGGATTGTTAATAACATCAATATCCAAAATTTAAATATTTTATAAGCAGCTTTCAAAAGATCCGTTCATTTAAATATATCTACACTTCGGTGAATGAATTATTTCTTTCATACTTACATAATTTCTGCGTTTTTCAGCGAATCGAGAACTGATAATATTTGATCAGTAGTAGCCGCTCTGACCGCTGGAATAATCTTCACAAATGCTGTAGCAGCACGAGCTCCTCCAATCGATTCCTGCTTCAAACTGTTCCGATGTTCTGATACCAACCGTTCCATCTAATAAGACAATGGATTACTCGTCTTTTAATACACCTATCTCAAATATACTTAATATTTAGTTGTCAGCATATTTACCGTAGGACATTGTTCATCTTGGCAGAGAGACGGTTCCTTCTCAGCGCGCAGTGTTCTACTTGCAACATTTTTCAATTGTTTAACGGCATCTTGTAAATTGATGCTCTTAATTGGTGACATTTTCACCTTTTTGTCTTCCAGAACGAGTTCAATTTTCGTACGGACATTGGCACCTAAAATGCAATGGGGAATATGGAATTTTATAAAATATAATCATCATGTAGCATCATCAGCAGTTTATTTCTCACCTGCATCGCGTTTCAAAACCAATTCCAATTCGTGAACTTCATCAGCAATAATTGACTCCAAAAGACCTTCTTGATTTGTCTTATATTCGACTCCTCTTTGAGAATGTGTATGCACAGATAGGGCTTCATCAGGCCTCTCTCTTTTATTTTGATGGCTAATTAAGCAACGTTTTTTGGACTTCTTGACTCCTGAATGAGGGCCTGATGTCGTATAAGAAGCTAGACAATCGCCAGAAACATCAGATTCCATATGATCGCCATCTAGAAGTTGGAACTATAAAACATGGCATTTGTGTTATTACTTTCTTAAAAAATCGGAATGCAAATATAAAAAAGTGGTCTGTTTCCTTATCAAACTATTATCATTATTATGCTTTGTCAAGGTATCATGCTGAATTTTATTGAAACTTGGAGAAAACAATATTAAATGTTTAAAACTTATGCTGTTAATTGCAGTCAATCAAAATATAGGTAATATTTTTTTACCAACCTGGAAAAGACTGACAAGTCCTCTCTTGAAATTTATCATGGATAACGGCTCATCGGGATCCACGTACAAATGTTCTATTTTTCCATTGGACCACGTCGCATAAAATACCTTGTTTTTGGCACTTTCAATTCTTGAACTGTGTTCTACAAAACCTTCAGGAGCTGGTGCTTTCCGAGATTTTACGTGTAATTTTGGATACAGCAACTAGATAATCAAAATATATAAGTATTGTCATAATAAATAAGACTTAATATGAAACGATTTGTAATCCAACGGAAAACTCACGTTGTTTTCAGAAGTTGGAATAACATAAATTTCATATTTTTTTACCTCAAATCTTAACATTTTGTCACCATTTCCGCCATCCCAAATGGCTCCAACGTTCAATCTGCCGGTTATCCTATAGCCAACATCTCCACCAGCACGTATCGACCTGGGTTCATTCACCAGGACGGTGCTCTGGATTCGATATCCTACTCCTGCACTCATTGGGAAAGGGTCTGGCCTGGAGAGTCCATTTGCTAAATTAGGACAAGAAGATGCCAGTAGTTGATAATGAAAGAAATATTAAAGTTTCCTATCTTAATTAAATAATTACTATTAGATTCTTTTATGTTATCATTCTGTCTACTCCCAATTTTTTTACTATCCTACTAAACATTGCAATTATTTTAGTTATACGAGAATAAGATTGTAATAAATAATATTTGTAAATTGATGAAAAATACAGATATTATATCAATTACAACCTTATAAATTTTAAAATCTATCGTATGTAATGTTATGCTCCTATATCTATACACAACTAATTAAAATTTTTCGGGGGATGAAAACGAAAGTGGTGTTTTTGCTAATGTTTTATTTGTTAATTTAATAAAATAATAATTTAGAGTATGAATAATAGAAAAATAGAGCAATCCAAAAAAATAATCTCTTACTTTGAGAAAGTAAAAATACTTATTTGTGTTTTCCATCTTTTTATTCTGGCAAACTGAATATCAGATATCAAATCAGTTTTAAATATCAATCATAATACATTCAATTTACATCGAAGTAATCTAATATCCAAAGTTAAATTTTAAATAAAAAATCGTGCAACTTTCTACTTGGAAAAATGGTATCCAATAATGCAACTATTATGGATTTTATATTATTTTAAACAAATAAATTTCCATTGAGGCCAGTGGTAAAAATGTACCATTTGGAGCATTATTAGTACTAGTAGCAGGGCTGAATACTACTGGCAGTATCAGCAAAATTTACAACCTATTTAGCTGAGTATATTTAAGAAAATCATTTCATTAACGTCACGAAGGAAAAGTTTATGTTTTCATCAAAAAATCCAAGTCGCTAATTTTATGTTTCCTCGATGTTTCAAGCCATTCTGAATTGAATGAGACCAAATTTGGAAAAAGTATTGTGTGTGTGTAAACAGATTTTTTGCCGTAAATCGACGTTTTCTGAAAAAAGACTGGACCGATTTCAAAAATTTAAAAGCCATTCGATGTGTCTCAATGAGGACTAGCGTTTATCAATTTTGCGTGACGATCAGCCAAGCCGTTTCTTTGTAAATTGCAGAAAAGTGAAAAACTTTTCGTCTACGTTTTAGCCCGTAATTCTGAAACGATTTTGAAAATTCAAAAACCGTTCGAAAGATATTAGTTGGGAATGATACTGATTAGTTTTCGGTAAAAATCTACCGAGCCGTTTTCTTGTAATTGACTGTTGAATAAAATTTAACTTCATTTAACTTTTTTTGGCGATACATATCATGGTCTTATAGAACATACTGAACTATTTTACTTGAAGTAGTTTAATTTTAAAAATTCATCAAAGTTTGAGAAAATGAGTATTTTTAACGTTTGTTAAAATTAAAATTAGACGATTTACTTGGTACAACGATAGAGTACTTGGTCCTGCGGAATCTGGCTCAATTATAAAAATTATTGTGAAAATTTGCTTTTAGAAATTACCTCGAGTTAACGTGTTCGTTCGTTTTCAATTATGTGTAATAAATCCACTCGGAATACTTTTAATCACTCATAAATTAATTAATTTTTTAATGGTCAAGTCCATTATTTGCACATATCGGGAAGTTTATGTAACTTGCCTCAAGGCAAAATACCAATACCAACGAGTTTATATATGTTATTATCAAAAGGTCATATAATAACAAATTACTCGTGCTTTCCAATTAGTACTAATCAATGGACTAGTAAATTTAAATTTTAACTGAATATATAATAGTTTTTCGAATTACAAATTTGTTGTCAATGAATAACGACATTATTCAGTAATAATTTAGTGGTCATTAGTATAATTTATTCCTAGTTACCTTCTCAACACGCAATTAAAAAATACCCATTTCAAAACGCTTGATAAGTGAAATACATACATAGTTACAATCGCATTTTTAAATGCAGTTCCCTAGTAAAAATTTAAAATTATTTCTAATTGTGGTGATAACGCATGGACCTTCAATAAACGTAGATTTCAGCAATAATTAAAGCGAATATTCAAAACTGATATGTTATTTATTTATTTGAATCGTCATTTTGTATTTAGAAAATAAGCAGTGCACGTCGTGTTAAAGGGCTTATCTTGTTTGAAGTAAATGAAATTTAAATTGCAGTATTATTTTTATTCCAATTCCAATTGCCTGCACCAAGGCGACAGATTCTGAAAAGAAAACTTTACCAAGAACTTGAAGCTCGACTTTACCTCAAAGGTTTACCACCAACATCTCAAAAAACAATTTAAGTTGTAAAATTTTATACGCACAAATTTTAAAGTAGAGGGCAAAAGATTCGTAATCAGCCATTGCCAAATTCAGAGACTTCGCTACCACGATATAAACGACAACATTGTCATGTTTGTAAAGAAAGTATTTTTTTCGTCGTTTTTGAGCATTTAAGTATACTTTATTTTATTATTTCATAAGTTGTATTATTATTATTAAGTTAGATTCACCAGTTTTACTTCTATAGTCCATAGAATAGCTTAGATGTGATTGGGGTAAAAAGGACCAACAAAATCTTTTACACTGTAGAGGTGTAAACCATAAGAAACTAGTAAATAGAGATGTAAAATCAGTTAAAAAAAAGCAATTTTACAAATGATAAATTAAATAAATATTTATCCTGACTCTGATGATGAACTTCTCTGACAAAGTTCCATATGAAGATGGTATAAAATGTGCCCATAATATATGTATTTCAAATAGTCGTTTTCATTTTATTTGAAATAATTGTATTTCAAGAAACAATGAGTCTGATTATGATAAATTAAACAGAAATACCTGCTAAACCAATATTGGTGATAGTAGTAACAATTGATTTTTTTTTTGTTCATGTTAAAAAATACATAATTATATTATGATTTTTAATTTTGTTGCTCAATCTAATAAGTAGACTGCATTTTGTCTATTAAATAATGTAACTATTATCCCATAAAACTCCTTTTAAATTAAAAAGAAGATGGATTTTTCGCCAAATCAATTTGGAACTTTGGGTCCCGCCCTATCATATGCATATCAGAACTTAATAAGTACATTGCCTTGTCGGTTGATTTATTGTTGACTTTTTATTGACATGGGTAGATGGCAACCCAAACGGTTGTCTCATCTATATCAAATTGTAGTTTTACTTCATGTGAAAAGTTTGTCATGTGAAACGTTACCGAATCTTATTCAAAAAATTAGTTATAGGTATTACTGGTTAATATATTGATTTCATAAAAGTTTTAATTATACTAAAATGTAATATAATTAAAGCAATATATTACCTTATGCTAATCACATCATGTAATTTTATGATTACAACTTATGGATTATCGAACTTGGTTCATTAAGAGTTTCAACATTGACTGTGGTCTCTGAATATACAGTTATTTTCATAGTATTCAATACGCTCGGTTAATATATATATATATATATATATATATATATATATATTTCATCTTATTTATCAAATAGGACTCAATCTGTTTATCTTAATGATCGTGGTTCAGTAATTATCTCAGACAAACAAAATATTAAGCTCGGTGTCCCTCAGGGCTCAATTCTCGGACCATTATTATTTCTCATCTACATAAACGATCTGCCAAAATGTACAGATCTCTGTAAATTTATTCTTTTTGCCGACGACACTAGTGTGATTATAAAAAGCAATTCCTTAGAAGAAGTAAATAATAAATTATATCTAGTTATGAAGTCAATTTCGAATTGGTTCAATTCTAATAATCTTTTGCTCAATAATGACAAAACCCAAATTATGTCTTTTCGAACAGTAAATAGGATAAGTCATGAGATCAATTCTTTAACTATCAATAGCATTCAATTTGAATTTTCCTCAGTCTCAAATTTCTAGGGATCCAATTACAAAAAAACCTAAACTGGGACAATCATATTCATTCCATACTTGTACCTAAGTTAACCAAAACCTGTTTCATGTTGAGAATTCTTAAATCAAAAGTTAGTTTAAATTGCCTTCTTTCAATTTATTATTCTAATTTCTATTCGCATCTCGCTTATGGAATACAATTCTGGGGATTCTCATCATCCTTAAAGGATATATTCAAAATACAGAAAAGAGCATTAAGAATAATTTTTTCCCTCAGTTCCTTATCCTCATGTAGGAATCTTTTCCGACAATATAACATTCTCACTGTTCCCTGTATATTTTTGCTAATTACGTTGTCATTCATAAAGAATAATCCTGAACGCTTCAACCTATCCTCCATGTTAAATTCCTATTATAAAACAAGAAATTTGACTATAAAAGGACCAACTTTTAAACTTGAAACATCTTTTAATACCATAGACGGAAGAGGAGTACAGCTTTTTAATCTACTCCCACTACATATTAGGAAACTGAATGATCGTCAATTTCATAATACTATTGTTAAACTTTTAAAAGCTCAAAGTTTCTACGATACTTCTGAGTTTGCCAATTTCGATATCAAACATTATTTTGATAATGAAATGCCTACTGTTACTAATTAATACTTCTTTTTGCAACAGTTAAAATTTTTTTCCCTTTTCAATACCTTTGCTAATTTTTATTCTAAATTATTTTACCATTTTCCTACTTTAAGTATTTTATCATTACAATTATTTTCATATTGTATATTCTTTTTTGATACTGCTCTTAATTTTTATTTTCCAGATATGATACTCAACTAAAAATTGCATAACGGATATTTCAAGGATTTTTTTACCATAAGAAGACTCTCAAGATCTACAACAATTAAACTATTTGAATTTTATTACATTTTTTTTTTCTTCAAGTCATTGTATTAGATATTACTAATGTTAGGCGTAATATTGTTTAATAGTTGTATTTTACTATACTTAATTCAATTAGGATAATTTATTTTCTGTAATTATTAAATTTATTCCTGTATCCGTAAATATAAATATAAATATAAATATAAATATAAATATAAATATAAATATAAATATAAATATATATATATATATATATATATATATATATATATATCGTATATTTCATTCATATATTAAGTCATTCAATTTTAAATTTGTATGGAAATTTATAAAAAAAAATCAACAGTGTATTCAATTTAATTTAACAGAGTCATCTTGATTACTCTTGGTTGGTGTCCTTTTAAATATGTAGAACAAGAAGGAATGTTTTTTTCATATATTATTTCATGTAAAAAATGCTGTTCGAGACAGAAAAAACGTAATGTACGTATATGGGTAAGATATGTTGCCGGTGCATCAGTTATTGAACTAGTTTGCAACATTTTGATGTCAAAGGTGGAGATTATCAAATGCAACTAATGGATGTTTTCTTTAACCCCTATCGAGTTAAAAAACGACGATATTCTTTCGAAAATCCTATATAATGAATCATAATTACACCAAATTGTTAATTATTATTACTTTTCTAAGGGAAAATTTTAGAAATTCCAAAAATGATACAGAAATATATTTTTTTTGTCAAAGGCTGATCCAGCCGTTTTGGAGGTTCGGAAGAAGAAAACGCAAAAGCGGATTAAATTTTAGAGCCATTAATGAATATTTGGATTGTGCATATATAAAATTATCATATCTTTACAAAGCTTTCAATATTATTTCTGACTGATAAATATTTTTCAAAATGTACTACAGTAATTTACTAAGGTTTACCGGTACATAGAAAATTGCAATATTGTCCTCTAGTCAAACTTTTTATATATTGGAGTGAACCATTCCATGGTAAAAATTGTCATTTGGTATTCAAAAATAATCATTTTGTATATGTTAATTAATCATATTTTATAGCTATTATATATAAGCATAATTTTCATCCATACACACAAAATAGTTATTATCTCCAATAGGCTTTGAGCATATAGAATTTGCTAAAAAATTATTAATACCAAAAATTTACCTTCGATTGATTATTTTATCATATTGCGAATCTTTAAAACTCTTAATGTAACAAGCCTCTAGATTTCTGTGCAATATCTATCAGGGAAATAAAATTGGATTCTTAATCATTTGGAACCAAATTTGGTAAAGTTGGTTTGCGTATGTGTGTATGTGAGACGATTCTTGCCTTTCATCGACGTTTTCTCAAAAACGGTTGCACCGATTTCAAATTATTTAAAACTATTCTATTACCTCGATCGACCAAGTCATTTATTTGCAATTAGCAAAAGTTTTCGTCCACGATTTAGCTAAAAATCCCATTAATTAACCTACACAATGTAACGGATAACTGAAAACTCTTCATATGGCTATGTTTTCTAGAATTTTGTGTATACCTTATATTTGTTAAATAAACTTTATTTTATGCTTTCTCTATATTTTATTCAAAATTAAGTCAACGGATAGCTATAATAAAAAAAACAATTTGCTTGAAATAGTCATTCACTTTCATGCATATATGTCAAGGAAATATTCTACATTTGAAGTAATTATTCAACCCACGGTTCGTGCAATTCTTACAAATGATTTAAACTATGCAAATCATCACGCACGTATTTTATATGTGTACATTAAGAAATTTAAAGAATGTAACTGTATTCTAAATTTAAAAAAAATGCCTACTGACAATTAGGTAGGTGTGTTCTTTTACCAATATTTTTTATAATATTCATATATCGATACTTTGTGGAGTTCATTTTCAACGTGAATGTTATTTAACTTCCCGTAGGGTAGTTATAGAAATGGGCCGAAAATCGAAAATGAAAATTTTTGCATTTCTCGACGTTTTGAAAGTTTCTGAACATTGTGGCATACCTCAGAAAAAATGGATGTGTGTGTGTGTGTTTTGTATGTCCGCATTTTTTCTTCCACGTTTTCGGGCGCACGGAACAACTGATTTGAATGGTTCAAAAAACATTCGATTCCTATTGATAGGGAGATGTGCTGATTATTTTTTGGCAAAGGCAAGTTCAGCCGGCTCGGAGATACGTAGCAAAGAGTGCAGAAAATAGAAATCGAGTTTTTGAAAGAACGGAGCATCCAATTTGAATGATCGAAAAAACATTCAATTCGTAATGACGGAGAGAAGTGGTGGTTGGATTTTGGCAAAGGCAGATCTAGCCGCTTCGGAGATAACGAGCTAAATATGCAAAAATGGCAGTTTTTGAGAGAACTGAGCATCCGATTTGAACGATTCAAAAAACTTTCTGCTTGTTTCGACAAAATAATTGCTTTTGGAAAAAAAATTATTTCAATTATTTCTCCCAATTTTTTTTTTCTCAAAATTTTTTTTTTTTTGTATATCGAAAATAATTGAGATTTTAATATTAATTCTAGCTAAAGTTCTAAAGCTCACTTATATACTTTAAATAAATAATTTTAACTTTGTAATTCAGTTTATATAACTCTTATAAATATTAGACAATGTTACACTATTTATAATAATATATTCGAAAACATTTAATATTTTTCGAACATTTCGTTACTGTACGGGAAGTTTCAGCAATTTGCCTTAAGGCACGATGCCATACACAACTAGTTTACTTATTTCATTTAACATTTCTGATTCTGTGCAACATACAGATATGTGAGGTGTAAATATATAATCAGTAGATCTTTTATTAATATTTTTATTACAATTGACGTGATTTACATACGTTTTATATCCATATCATGATTTTGTCTACTAATTTTGATATCCTTTACATTAAATTAGCATGTGATTAAATTGCATTGCGTGCATCGACGTTCGTATTACTATGTAGTATGTAATGTATACTTAGTCGATGTTTAATCTGATATTCATATCTTCACGTGTGACTAACATTAAAAATGTTGCTGCCGAAGTAACCTTATACTCTAATCAAGATTAGAGTTCAGCGAATCTGAGTAATAAAATTCGTTAGATTGCAACGAGAATGTAAGGAATACAATACACGAATTTGTCCATGAAACAAAATAAAACCTGCTGAAAACAGGTGCAAAGCTGAAATTTGCCAGAAAAAGGTGATGCGGTATGTTGGTAAGATTTTAAAGGAGTTGTTCATTCAGGAGTTGGCCATTTGTCATCAGCTGGATAAACTAAATGATATTTTAATAGAAAAGATCAGAATTAACCCACAACAAGGTATAGTCCTGCATCAAGGCGAGGCAAGACCTCACAAAAGTTTGGTCAATCGCCAGAAGCTTTTGAAGCTTAAATGGGACCCAATGACACATTCATCATATTCTCCAGATCTGCCATCATCGGACCATTATTTATTCCGGTCACTAAAAAAAATTTTTAGGCACTTTGATCAATTTTTGCCAATAACGACCAAAATATTTATGATTTCAGAATTATAATACCAGTAGTAATAATAATATGACAAAAGATGTTGGATCAAAACTGCCAATGCATAATTTATTAAAGTAAATATTTATTGTACGAAAATTACGTGCAAAAATATCTATGAAAAACGAAGTTACTTTCCGAACAAGCCAAAAGCAAGAATGAGATTACTGTTTAATACAATTATATTTGATACATAATGTTTTATTTGAAAATCGTCATGCATACCTGCTTGAGAAGATACTACTTATTCAAAAGTAAGTCCGATAAGAAAAATTCACACCAGTTTACCATTACAGTTCGAAGAAATTCTAATACTAAGAATTAGATAAAATCGTAATAAAACTTATCGTCTATTAATAAAATACAATATGAAAGAAATATATACAGTAAAAAATAAATTACACACTCGCATTAGTGACATATGTTAGTAAAATAGATTAAATTTATAATAGTTCTATAGCATTCCTACCTGGAGCCATAGCAGCTCTGCTACCTGAAACAAGAAAACAGAGTAGATAGATAGACAGCCTCCACCGTAGTACATAATATAAATTAATATAATTTATTAGCACAGAGGTTCTCAATCATTTTCTATCGCTTTGAATACAATAAGGTGAAAATAATTTTTATACAGTGTCCAAGAAAATGATTGAAAATCACTACATTGTTAACCCTTCACATAATCATGGAAAGATCGAATTGAATATAATTTTAAATTTAAAACTGCGTAAGGAAGAACAAGAAATAAGCATCTACTTTGTCCCACCAATAAAATAATTCGATAAGAATATTTATTAAAACCAAAAAATAATGCAATTTAGCTCACTCTCGTAAAACTGGTCTTTTTAATCAATTTGCTTTAATATTTGGTATCATGAAAGTTGCGTAAGTTAGGATCTTATGTTAAACTATAAAATTATTTTTTAAAAATTGGTCGACTTTTTTGAACCTGTTTGACCTATTTTGAACTGACTGTGAGTAAAATGCTGCACTAGCGAAGATTATGTCATTTTTAGGTTTTTATTTTTTTACTGAAAATTTTTTAATGGTAAAATTATCAAGTATTTTACCATTTTACAATCCTGATTAAATGCGCCAACTATTGATGAAACTTGCCAACACACTTTAGCACATTTTTTAAAGAAGGGCCTCTCAAAGTCAATTTTGAAATTCATTGTTCAACAAAAAGTCTGAAAAACTTGGTGCAAGTATGGTATTTTTATGCTTAAATCAATAAAATTAATAGATGTTGGCCATAATAACCGAAAAACTGTCATAATTTATCAAAGCTCTAGGTTGCGCTTAAAAGCTCACAATTTTCAAACCTGAGATATTTTTTTCTAATTTTCTCAGGATAATTAAGTTGATAAGGTCTGGGACACACTGTTTGCTAATTTCCTAATTTGAACCATTAGAAACAGGATTTCCTAATTTGTATGGTTCGACTCAAAAAAATCTGATTCTAAACATGATTCGATATGGACAAAAAACAAACATCAATGTATTATTCATTTAGTAAATGTGATCAAAATTTATGATAAATTAGTAAACCAAGTAAAAAGTGTAAACATAAATTACCATTATCAAAAAATCCTACGTAATCAAAAGTTACGTGTGATTCACAGACTTTCTGGTGTTAAGTAATAGTTTCAAAAACAATTTTATGAGAAGGAAAATTTTATAAGACAAATGGTCTGAAAATTGATATATGGTTTCTAGAACACACATTTATTATCAAAATTAAATATTAATATTTCACGAACGAACGAATTTCCTCCCAGCTCTCTATCAAACCCAAAGACAATGACGCTGTTGTATCTGCGCATTTTTATATTTACATTTATTAAAATTATGTTTTTATATTTATTAATTACCTGTAGGGTAAATTATAGCAATCGCAAAAAAAATGAAAATAAAATTTTTACGTTACAGAGGTTTTTGAACATTTTGCCATACCTTAGAAAAAATTGATGTATGCGTGTATGTGAAAAAAATTGCCATTTGGCGGATAAAATGATCATTAGACCTATGCACATCAAATTATCACATGTTTTATAGATATTTTAATAATCATAACAAATTTTGTTCACTTTTCTATGAGTTCTGAACCAATGTTTATCGCGATTGCTTTTTTTTTATTTATGATTTATTGGCTTTATAACTAGTACATTAGCCATATACTAAATTACATAATATCTACACCATCTCTTAGTCTAGTCTTACGTATATATCATTGTTTTATGCTTTGAAAAGATGTTTAGAATCCTAATTAATTTAAAATATAAAAGAAATCAAATTTTTTAAAAGGGTCTTCTTTTTCAAAAATTTTAAAATCTCAAAGATCGATTTTTACAGAGTTCTTAGAAAATTGAATCTTTTTTAAAAACATAATTTTTTTTTAAATTATATTTATATTTTGCGCCTTGATACGAGTTGATTCGAATCAAGTAAAATGTGATTCGAATCAAGTTGAATAATTCGAATCACTTCATTCGAGTTGGCACATTACTAGTAGTTACTATACAAACAAAGAATAATATATGCACTTTATAATTAACATAAATTATAATTAAAATATTATAATTATTTTTGTAAATAATTTTTACCATAAATGCTTAATCAAAAAAAAAAAGATTAATATTAATTTGATTTAATTTTTGTACTAAAAACATTGTTAAAGTCGGGAAATATTGATTCGATTTAATGACATCGTACATTAAGAGGTGAACTATATTATTAACATTTGATTTACATACTAATTGAATTTTTAATACGTTTTAATATGAGAATATGTGGCTTAAATAGTAAAATATTATTATTATTCTATATAATTTTTTTCGTTTTTCATTGTTGGTTGGGTTTCGGTGTATTTACTTTTATTCCTTATATATAAACAGATTTTCAAGAGTGGATTCAAAATCTGAACTTAACCAAAGATAATAAATGATATGTTGAATCGTACTATCGTATCGCAACCTTTGACTCTTTGACTCAACCTCAGATGAATGTAAATTTTATGAATGTATTTATACCCATCAATTTATAAATTTACTGCATGTGTAATGTTAATGATCTACAATTTTGTAATATAAATTGTTAACTAGTTAAGAGAAGAAATGAAACAAAAATTAAGTAGTTATTGTTATAACTTGATGGTACTGCACCGAATATAAAAATTTTAGTTGGATTTTAATAGGTACAAATATTCAAAGGTACTTAATAATAAATCAGTATATCCGGCCAAGCTCTATAAAAAACCTTTCTGTAACAAGTGTGCAGCCTATACAAATAAATTATATGTATATAGTTAAATAAATTCACACACACACATATATATATATATATATATATATATATATATATACATGTATATATAATTTAGAACTACTAGGTTAATGATTTAAAATTCCGGTTTGTTTTTTATGCAAATAGTTAATGGTTAGCAATTGATAATGAGTTTAAATAATTTTATAATCACTATCATTTACATTTTTGTTTTAGTTTAGTCGACTACTGAATAAACATTAATGACTACAACAATTTTCTATTTCAAATTGTAATAAATGCTAGAAGACTAATGCTAGAAAAATACTATTCAAAATCAAAATTAGTGTATTCATAAATTAGACTTATTTTTAACTTCCTGAAGAAGAAGTTTATGTTTTCATCAAAAAATCCGATTCGCTAATTTTATGTTTTCTCAACGTTTCAAGCCATTCTGAATCGAATGAGACCAAATTTGGAAAAAGTATGTGTGTGTATGTGAACAGATTTTTGCCGTAAATCGACGTTTTCTCAAAAACGGCTGGACCAATTTCAAAAATTTAAAAGCCATTCGATGTATCTCTATGAGGACTAGCGTTTCTCAGTTTTGTGCGATGATCGGCCGAGCTGTTTCTTTGTAAATCGCAGAAAAGTGAAAAATTTTTCGTCCACGTTTTAGTCCGCAATTGTGAATCGATTTTGAGATTTCAAAAAACCGTTCGAAAGATATTGGTTGGGAATCGTGCTGATTACTACGGTAGATACCATAGTCTTATAGATCATACTAAAATATTACGGCCCCACAACTCGTTTTACTTAGTTTGCAAAAATTAGTATAGTTTTTTTGGCATTTGTCAAAATTAGACCTTTGATCGACGTTTTCTCAAAAACGCCTGAACCGATTTCAGAAATTTAAAAGCCATTTGACGTATCTCAAGGAGGACTATCTTTCCTCAGTTTTGTGCAGCGATTGGCCGAGCCGTTTCTTTGTAATTTGGAAAAAAGTGTTGAAATGTTCGTCCACATTTGAGCTCATACTATCAAATCGATTTTAAAAAATCAAAAACTGTTCGAAAGATATTAGTTGGGAATGATACTGATTAGTTTCGGGTGAAAATCTACCGACCTGTTTTCTTGTAATTAATTGTTGAAAAAAATTTAAGCCGACTTTCATGGAACTTTTTTGGCGATATATATCATGGTCTTATAGAACTTACTGAAATATTACGGCCTTACGACAAGTAGTTTAATTTTAAAAATTCATCAAAGTTTGAGAAAATGAGTAGTTTTTTTTACGTTTGTTAAAATTAAAATTAGACGATTTACTTGGTATAACGATAGAGTACTTGGTCTTAATGAACATACTAAACCATTAAAGTCCTGCAGAATCTGGTTCACTTATAAAATTTATTGATTTGTGAAAATTTGCTTTTAGAAAATACTCCAAGTTAACGTGTTCGTTCGTTTTCAATTATGTGTAATAAATCCACTCGGAATACTTTTAATCACTCATAAAATGATTTATTTTTTAATGATGCAGTCGATTGTTTACACATATCGGGAAGTTCATGTAACTTGCCTCAAGGCAAAATATTAATACCAACTAGTTAATTTTATTTTTCACACCATTTTACTTGTGAGTAGCATATTAGTTGTTGTTTTAAATATTTTTTGAAATAAAAATTTAAAACATAAATAATTACTAAACTAATTCTTACCAAAGAACGCAAGTACACATATTATCCCTAAAGTTCTCGGAGGTAACATTTTATTATAATATTATATCGCACTACGAACTAAAACTATTTAAACAATTTAATTAACTGTTTTTTTCAAACACTATTTTAGTTTAGAAGTTCAATGAATATTTCTTTTGAAAAGTATTTAATTTGAACATATTGCACTCTCTTTAAATAATTTAAATAATCAATCGACTATCAATTTAAAATGATTTTTTCGATGAGATCAAACGTACAAAACAGTCCACATCCACATCACAAGCGGTTATCACGACATGTTTAGAATGAAATGTATAAAGTTGGCACTATTGTAAATTATGAAATGTAATGGTATTTTATTTATTTCGAATTAATCGACATCACTGTGATTTTGTTTAAGATATGTC